ACATTTGCAGCACTTTGCGCAGAGGTAGCGTATCGGGCCACCTATTTAGTTCAACAGAATAAAACTCCAGCAGAGATCTAACGAGCGAGACCACAGGTGGGTGGCGCTGAAGCTGCGAGGAAAGAAACCTACGCTATCAAATGGTTAAGTTGACTGTGGACACGGCCTTGATTTATACTGAGCAACAAGCAGAAGGTAGGATGCCGTATGGAAGGCAAACACTACCGAGTGAGTTCAAGTTCCGTACACCCAAGATTTGTATAATTTGAAGCTAGGTTCAACCTCAGTACGCCCTTAATTTACAAGTCAAGAACCCAAAGTTTTTAAGGAAAACCTCAACGAGCTCTTGGGGTGTTTTGCATATAGCTAGGAACCATAGCCCATTTTAATTTACTTGCAAATTTACCTATGATATGTAAGGTCGTTCTTCTTTCCTCCAAGTCGGAAGTTTCCTTCTTCCTCCACGTCGGTAATCGCTTCCTCGTCGCACAAGCGTGTGTGAAAAATGTAAGTGCGAACATGCGGTTAATCGTTCTGATCAAGCGATATATAAGTTCAAAAGTCTTGCTTCGTAAAGCTAAAATTTCAGCAACACCTGTCGCATTTGCTCATATGCTGTACGTACTGCCTCTTCAATCCGCGACCTTCCATTATGACCTGCGGCTGTTCATTGTTGGGGCTACGAAAATCGCATTAACCGCCATATTAAGGTCAACCCGGCTTCAGATCACCCCGGATGATCCATTTGCAAAGGAAACTATGCTACCACACTCTGTGAGAGATGTGGTGACGACGTCGTTGTGTACGACGATGCAAGAGCTAGCGATCACAAGCGGCATACAGCCAAGCAAGTGCACTCTGAAGCTGACGAGGGCATACATCACCAAATGTAACTTCTTGTCATGAGCAAGAAAGCTCTTCTCTGTCGAATTCAGTAGACGAGACTTGAGCGCGAACACGCGGTCATGCGCATTGGCATCTACTGAAAGCGAAGCACAACATAATGCATAGACTGAATTGTCGCTTACTACAAAGAATAGCCGATTTGGATTCGAACGGAACACACATTACTCATATGCACAGTATTGTTTCTGAACAGTTTGTAAGGTATATGTTCACAATAGTCCAGTGCATAATCTGCCGAAACATTCCTCACCAGTGAACAGCTGTGGGGCTTACGGTTTTCTTAAACATTTTAAAGAATGAGCGCTCGAAGAGCGCCCGATCTTCTATAAATCGTAAGTTCCTTACAATTTTTTGCCTTGGGGAGCCCTCTACCGTGCACACCATTTCATGCCCTGCGAGTCCCCGAGTATGGTGCAATCCTCGCGACCAACACCTCTAAAAACTTGGTGAAGAGATTGCGTGGCTCTCAAATGAAAAATTTTTGTAGCGACTATCCAAATTTTGATCCGAAAATCATCTCACCTGGCGACACACAGACAAGCCGTTAACCGTGGAGTAGGCACTCACTGCCCTCCGCCGCTCTTCCCACGACTTAAGACTTCCGAGTTCTTTGCGACAGCGAATTGAGAAGCTACACGCTGCGGGGCTTACGATGATGACCGGCTGTCTCTAACGACCCAAATCTTGATCAAGGCTTCTATCTTGCTCGTATACAAGTGAACGAGTCACACCGGCTCGTGCCTACTTCACAAGGTTGCGACTGAAATCTCAAACTATCACACGTTCCTCGCTGGGAGCGGAGACCATACACAGCTATGCGCGCGGGCCTTCTGCTCATATCGAAAGCAAAACGAGAGCCAGAAAATCGAACCAACTGGAAGGACCGTACCCTCCATGAGGTTTGGAACTGTTTACTGAAAGCGGGTGAGATTTAAGTACTGCACACTGGCTGAAAAAAGTGCTTCGCACCACTCGTTCCGAAGCTTTGCAAGCAAATTTAGTGAAGCGGATAGCGTCCATTAATGCTTGACTTTGCAAAGTTTATATTACGACACAGACGTCGAGGCTACACAAACGATTTTGCTGTAATTACCACAGCTTCTAACCAAAAGTGAAGTTTTCAAGAGGTCAGTTCTGGTGGTGGGTGTGCTGCGACAAAGATCCAAGTCGCTTATCCAAAGGATAAAGGCAAGGGCTTGCCATGACATTAGCGGCGGCAGTGGCTGGGCAACGTTGTCAAAGTTCTGCAATGAGTATTTCGAAAAAAAACATCCCACCTTCCTCAACTGATACCGATTACAGTCCTAGCATACATGTCGGTCTATTCAAGCTGTAAGGGAAAGTGATCAGGCCTTGGTGGTGAGGACAACCTCCCGCGGTCGGTTTAGTGATATAACTCAGTGGTGGCGGCACGATAGCTCTCTATAAGAGTCTTGACGTGCGTATTGAGCTGAGGCGGGTTACATTTTTGACGCACTATTTAAGCTACGCCATTGCACCTCACGGTTTGAGGCACCTTCACCAGTTCAGAGCTGTGTCACTACCCTAAAACAGACGCTATAGGGGGAGGTAGATACGTTGCTTCATCTACAAACTACAAAACACATTACTCACACTCGACTGACCAGTTGAAGCAACATCGTTATTATTTCAGTAAGCCCACGTGGAGCACAGAATGTGTTCGATTTTTACTAAGAGTGTGAAGAGTATAACCGGGTTCTTTTTCTCTGCGACCGCAAACAGTCTGATGTAGCGCGGTCGCGCGTAATCTCTCAGACTGCAGACAGGCAATTTAACTGCATTAAATTTACCCGCTTGCCTTTATACAAATTGAGTGCTTCCCCTTCCTCTGACATCGCGGTGCCAGTTGTACATATCCTAAGTCTCAGACATAGGTTCGTGTGCCTGATGCATGACGCTCAATCTCAATATAACGAAACATGTAATTATGTTACAAAATGTATCGGGGTTGTGTCAGCGAGTTCAATAGTATCGACTGCCCCTTCACATTCAAATCATAGCCACTTCGCAGCGATTTCAAGGAAACCGGGAATTTTTTAAAGCATATAGTTGAATATTTCACACCCTATTATTCAGTGAAAAATCGATGACGAATGCCAACTCACTCCAGCACCGTGTTCGCTTCGCGCATGTGCTTTAAAGAGTATTCTCAACGCGATCAGTACGCTTCCCTCTGACCAATTTTCTGCGGGAATCAGCGCCTGACATGAATCATTTGGTGCCTGCTATCTTAAAAATTGGCTTAAAACTAGCTGTAATGCACGGATCTATATTTGCTACAAAACGTTTTTCTTAGAAATCGCTTGGCTATACGCTTACTGGTAATGAATCACTGGATATAATTAGGCGTGAAAAACGGCATGAACTGCAGTCTTCATTCGCGAGGGCCAAATCAAGATCCAAATATGGGTTTTCTTCCGGACCTTAAAAGACCTCTCATCTACCACACCCAGTATTTTAATGGGGATTAGTGAGGAGTTGCGCTATGTCAGCTTAATTTGCACCGTCCTAATGCAAGCCAATCTACCTTCGTAAGTCTCTTTGGGACCGAGGCATCAGCAGATCATGGCATTTATTTTTGCGAAATTTGTCTGCAGGTCTTGCATTTGAGCCGAAATCGTGGCTCCATTTAGTTATTTGTAAGCATACACAAATCGTCACTTGCCGTTAGTATTGCTGACACAAATCTTAGGCACCACGTGGGGGTCTCAATAAGTCCGCTTCATGCATCGCACAAGAAAATGCGCTATCGCAGAGCCATTACCGTGCGATGCAATATAAGTTTTTGCGTACTAAGTTTCACGACGTACTCTTTCATCTGGGACAACACGCGTGGTGCTTTTTTTAACATGCTTTGATATTCCTTTAACAAAATGTAAAAATCCGTGGAGGCCTTGAGTCTGGCTTTCCCACCTTTCACACTCCGTGATATATAAGTATATAATGATGGACTAACCGATGACGGGTGTCCCTTTGGTACCAGACGTACCAATCTCATTGTCTTGTCATTTTGTGCACAGACCGTAGGGATGACTCACCCAGCTCAATGATTAGTTCTACCAGGGGTCGTGCGGAGATACTAACAACCCTAGGATTGCCCCGGTCATTACGCACAACAATCGATTTTGAGCCATCAGTACTGCTCAATCGCGACAAATATAAGTCAGTCAAACCTCGGAGTCCAACTCTACTACTTTTGACGTGCAGTCTGTATATTCACGAGAGATCGTGCTATAAAGTTGGTCTTCAACTGCAGCAGCTCTAGCAAAGGAGAAACCCTGTAACGGGGTCACACAAGATGGTGTGATCACACAATGGTGTGGCTACACTTAAACAACAAGTCAGTACGTGGCTAGAACAGCCAGTAGTTAAATATTTGATCAGGTTCTTCTATAAAGACAGGAAAACCTATAGATTTAAATATAGACGGCTTTGCCGCGAATAATACCGAGACGTATCGTTTACATCTTTAAACGGAGGAGATTATTATTCTTGGATTAAGGTTGTAGTCACTCTTAAGGTAAGCAGATTGCGATCGGTTACACTCGTACTGGTTCTAAGTATCGAACGAAGGTCGTCGACCTAAACTAAGCTTTTTCTATGCGAAAGAGCTACGACAGCCCGCTGCAAAACCAGCTGACTACTTCTATTGTTCATTACCTACCAGAAGCCCGCGCACACCATCGATCATTTTGTCTCAGCAGATATACACTCTCGGAATCATACTCCGTTCACTTCCCTATCCCATATTGACGGCCATTCTGGCTTTCGACTCCTCCAAACATCTTGCAATATCTTTACTGGACATCTAGATCAATAACTAGGACAATATAAAGACTTGCATCATAGCTATCGCAGACTCATACTCGCACAAGAGACTTCTGCCCGATTCTCGCAGCCAATCGATTTCAGTCAGTATGAAATTCAATTTCTATCTACTATTCGTGGGGAGCAATTACCACGTGTGTATTCGTCTATTGGTTCGATCAAAAACTTAGTAGTGAATAAGCACGCTATAAGCCCGCGATAACGTTTTTTGTGCATACATCGACTGATGATATCCATCATCATCGTGCTCGTTTTTTCTGACGTTGTTCTTTTGTAATGATCGATGAATGCTCAAATTGGAATATCAGTCGGAAAGTCGCGGTGGATGATATCAAGAACTAGATTTCGACCAAGAAATATGTATTGAGAGTTGATTCGAATCATTTTGCCGTCCCAAACATATCTTTGAGAAGTGTAAATCATCGACCAGCCTGTTTACGTCCTTGGATAAAATACAGTGAAATGAGAGCCTGCGTTCTTTTCGGCTCCATTACCAAGTCATCGAAGATTATCAGTTTGCTTGTTTCGGAGTATTATTAACTCATTGCTGTTACTTGGCTCTCTGCAATGACCTCAACGTTACCGATAGTTTCTTTGAGATGATCGTATGATCGTGGAGTGTCTCGGTGATCTTTGTAATGACGATCTTCGTAAAGCATTTGCTCAAGAGGGAGATTATGTAGCGGACGGTGTTTGACTTCTCTGAGCCACTGGGATCCCCACGCACATGCGGAATGGCAGCTCAAAGTGCTCGTTCTTCGGAAACCGCTTCAATTCTGATTTCTGGATAGACTCGTAGAAATTTTGCATCTTATAGTATAGTGATAAAGATGTCTCTTTCCCGATTATCAATTCTCCTTTATTTAATAGCTCTTACTTTACAGGCGCAAATGACTATCTAACACCAACCACATGCGATCCACGCTATTTAAGACTGGGTGGAGTTGGTACGGTTTCATGCTGAGCGTTATTGGCAATTTCGATGCCGATCGGTGCAGATCATTCTACTATTACCGGCATCACATCGGGAATGTTGCGATATTCTGAGACAATGAATGACACGTGATTATGCAGGTGCTGGATTAAGCCTATAGGCACATCGAGCACAAAGAGCTTGCTTTTTAGGCAGAACTACGAATCGCAAAAACATGAGCATTATCGAGTATTTGATACAATGGATTGGTGATTGCATCAAGAACTACATCCGGATCAAACAACAAACGTATCCGTTGATGAATTTAATATCAACTGATAATCCGAATTCATTTGTTGGAGGTGTTTCAGCTACAAGCGTTGATTAGTTCACAAGTAATTGGAATGTTAATCTAGCCGTTGGCTTCACATGGCAGACCCATAAATTTTGTTTCAATGCTGGAAATGGACATCCTTACAAACGCGGATATCCTCATACATACACTCTTGCTACCTCAGCGGATGCTTTTTTGTATAAATTCTGGTGACCATCCTGTGGCTGTCTACTATACCTTGTTTCAGACACTGTTAATAAAATTTTGTTCAACACCAATACGCCATACTCCAATTCGTTTGAAACTGCTCCTCTCACACTAAATTTTGGTAATATTTATATTTAAGCTGCAATGCACTCAACGATGGAATTGGTAACTACGATATACTGAGCTTCAAAGAATCATCTTATGGATCGCCTATTGGACGATCTCCACTAATAGTGCATATTTTGGAACTGCTACTGACAAATATTCGATTTGATGACAAATACCCGAAGACTTACAGTAACCTCCGCTGGTAGTGTCAGTATCGGAACTGGATCGCCATCGGCCACTTTGAACGTCTCTTGATGAACCTCATACACAGTTGCTGTCGGCGGAACATCAAACACAATGTACAAGGAAACATTTGGAGCAATCTGGGACTAGGCACAGTCAGTGTTACGGTCTCTGCGATATTCTCGTATTCCATTTTCTGCGTGCAACCCATTTACACAAGTTCTCATAGGGCGACTAGTGATCATATTGATGTTGATTATATTATGCTTGCCAAAAAAATAAAGCACCATGAGCGAAAAAAATCATTGAACTGTCTGGAACGACGGATCATCAACTCATGAAACTCGCCAATTCTCTTTCGGTAAAGCACATCAAATTGAATCTCGACAAAAGCAAAGACTGTTGCATAATCGAAATGGGCAGTCCCACAATCACTGGATGGCAGTCTCAAACAGAGCTAAGGCTTACTTTGATCCTCTAGGATTACTAAGAGCCCGTGTAATTCTAAAGAATTATTCCTGCCGCGAGTTCGGTATTCAAAATCCACGGTCTTGGGCAGTATAGTGTACTATCTGCAACACAATCAATTAGATAGTTCTTCAAGCTTTCCAACAAATATTTTTTTAATATACACACAGCAATGGATGGTGAATATGTTGATACGCACGATTCAGAACCAATTCGCTTTGATGAGTACCACTACTCGTTGCCAGCTCCCAAAATGGAGGCAGAGTCAGAGTTACTCACAGCTTCCTCTAGGTGACTATAATCGCATCACGAAGAACATTTCTCACGCCAAGGTATATTTGGTGGGAATACCAAGTCTGCGCAGCTGCGCGCTAAGTATCAGTAAGATCATCATTTTTTATTATGTCACAATCAGCGTAAAAAAATCACATTATCGGATTAGCATTCAAGTATATATGTCGATGTCGATTTGGAGTGACTCACCACTTAGTCTCCATGAGTCAGCACTATGGCGATTCAGCAGCGTATTTCATTTCGATGTCTATTTATTCTCTTAGTCATTGTAGAAGGATCTCTATTTACCTGAGTCAGCTGAGTCTTCATTTCTTATCAATATTCGAAATATATACTTATAAGAAGGTATAGTATGATAGAGAGTAGTGACTAATAAGAAGTGGGAGATAGTTGTAAGAAGTGGTGACTCAGTGACTCATAATGACTCTAATATCTAGAGTAACTGTAGTCGGCTGATATTCAGCGATGGTGGTCTCGTGGTGACTCGTGGTGACTTAGGTGACTGACTCATTCACTTTTTTATGCCAGCACCATCGCTTGATCATGTTTTGTGGATACCAGTTTTTATATTTTCTATTGGTATATACTGGTTCTGTTCGGTTACGGTCAGTTCGAGTTCAAGTAGTCTGTATTATTAGATACGACCTACTTCTCTACGCCTACATCGAATAGCATATACAAATTTACTCAATTGTCTCGAAGCTGATTCGAGCAGAGTTGGACAGTCCTAAATTGGGCCGATGAAGCCAATGATTCGGAAGCATAGCTTGTCACCTAGGCCGGTTTTCTTCGGCCGTGCTGTCCCGGGGGGCCTCAACTGCATCGTCTTGACTGGGAATCGGGCTCAGGCCGTCCGTCACCCTTTTGGGCGCGGACGACGACCGTCTAGTCAAGATTCCGACCCGTTGCCTTGGTTGTGAAGTTCTCCGGGGGAGGACCGCTTTGGCTGTCCATTTGAGCTTGATCGTCTTGACTTGGGGGTTGGTGGCAAATTGAAAAATGAGCAATAATAAATGGAGGCGCAAAGTCACCTGCCGGACTTTATTCCCCCCTCTAAGTCGATCCACTGCGAGATCAAATAAGCTTTTATATTTGATTAGCTGATATGCGTTTCCACCTTTTAAACGTTATATAATCGTAAAAAATGATATCAGGTATTGAAGGTGCATGAATTTTTTAGGACACTCCATGGGATTAAATGAACCCTAGAATGGGTGTAGATACGCTAGAAGCAGGGAAAATGTAGTACTGAGACTACTTTAAATGGCGCGCAGCAAAAAGGGCTGTGTTGGCTCGCATAAATGCTCTCAGCGAGTGTGACCGTCGAAGCTGACACAGAACAACCAGCAGAGATGGTTGCTGCGCTCTATCGTACACCTTGCGTATAAATGCACGTATGTGCACACTAAACGTGGTATACACGACCTGGAGCGCAGGCACTAGAGCAGTGGTGTACGTTGACGGAACAGACCATCATTGCGCACTGTCCATAGGAGTTGGAGCGTAATGCAGCGTGTAATCTGCCATAGATTCTCCACCACGGCGGCATGATCCAACCAAATGTGTTTAATGGATGGTCGGCGACCAAGAGCAATATCGAGCCACTTTGGGTTGGTGACGAAGAATGCAGACCAGTCGAAAAAAAGGACAGGCCATAGCCCTGCTGCTAAGACGCGGTCAAAGAACAAACAGTCTCTACCGCGTTGCACCCGATGCGCACGCAGTAGATGATGTCTGGGTGTGCAGTGCGCAAGAGCGAGAACGTGAGCGCACCGGCAGCAGACGAAAGGCGAGTCGGAAATGTAAAATTTCGAATACTGGAAGCAGTAACCGCCGTAAACGCTTGGACTGGCTCACGAACACATTGATGTCGGTTACCGTGGCTCGCTCGTCGTGCAGCTGAATCGGATGGAACTTGGTGGGTGTCGATGCCACACCAGCAAGAGTAGTTCAGACCGAGGTATCCGTGGTACAACACATATGCGTTTGTCCTTACGCACACCAAGATATGGTGCCTTGGGGCACACCCATCCCACTCCTGGAGGTGGGAGCGGTGCATTGCCGCACATGCCTCGTAATCGCTTGAAAACTTGTGTTGCTTCGTAGTGTAGGCGACGAAGCCACCGGTACTGCTGGTATGCCGAAACTGACCTGAGTCGATAGTCAATGTGACTTGTCGCATACGCAATAGCATCCGGCCATGATCCTTCACTATCAAAAAAGTCAGCGAGGCACCGAAGCTTAAATGTCGTTGCAATGTGTTGACGGAGGCTCCGTTGGGGTTCAGCAACCATGCACAGACTATGCCGCTGTCTCCCTGAGCTATCGATCCGAGGGGTGACTTCAAACCGAAAATTCCCTTCAGCATGGAACCAGCTCGGTTGGCTCAGCACATAGCCAAAACGAGCAAGAGGGGCGAGACCTCGTCATGTAACTTTCTACTTGATCCGATACCACAGACGCCAGACCTGTCGCCGCCAATGGGACAGTACGTCCCATCGAGGCAAAGTACCCTGTTGCATAAGGTAATAGCGAGGAAATCGCGAAATTTCCATGTGGCAACATGAGTGACGAAACTGCAATTCCTGGCGTGGTTTAATTACGTCGTGCCGAGGTTGACAAAGCAATAAATTGAAGCAGCACCTTGAGTTTCTGACGCTTAAGCGAGGATTTGATGCTGGGTATAGCCAGACCACCATCGGAGTGGGATTTATAAAGAAACTCCTTGGGGATTAATTCGATGTGCTTTGCGTTGTGTTTGTAGCGGTTAGCGAGCACAAAGCGGTTGAGTGTAGATTGCCACTGTCTAACGACCCGATGTGGAATTGGCACGTGCACCGTGTAGTGCCACAACAGAGAGAGGACCATGGTCAGCGCTTGCAGCAGACGGCCTTTCAGGGTCCGAGCGCATTGGAGAAATTCCTCGTAAAAACGCCGGTCTAAAAACTCCCCGATGGCGTCTTCGACTGGATCTTGACCGAAAAGGATGCTGAGGAACTTGACTGTCTCCTCGCGCCGAAACGTCCCGACGCCAGGGATGCTTAACGGGGTTGGTCTTACGATTTCGGTTCATAAGCACACATTTGGTAAGAATAAGCTTGGCCCCAGAGCCGTCACAGTACAGCTGCACCAAGTCAAGCTGTGCCTGTATACCGGATAGCGAGATGGGGAGCAGCGTTGAATCATCGGCAAAGAAGACGCTGGTGGTGGTGTGATCTTCGATGATGCAAACACCGTGCTCTTCATGTTGCCGAAGCAGATTTCCCAGCAGTTCGATGACCATAAGGAACAGTAGCGCTGAAAGCGGGTCATCTTGTTTGACCCCCCGTGTGGGAAATATCGGCGATTGGATGTGACCGCTGAGCTAGTGGTGTGCCTGTGGATTCGTGTAGAGAGGCTTCACCCAATCAGTGAAAGCGCCACCACAGCCCATGCGGTCGAGCATCTGGAGCATATAGTCCCAGTTGATCCGGTCGTATGCCTTCTCAAGGTCGAGATACATGGCATAGGCTTCCTAGTTGCGAGCAGTTACGACATCCTGCAGATCCGCCATGAAGCGCACGTGATGATGTACAGACCGACCTTCCACGCAAGCCTTCTGATCGCCATGTATAAGATGAGGAAGAAAGGTTTGAAGGCGATAGATCAGAACCTTGGACAGGGTTTGTACATCAAAACCAATGAGTTAGATTGGTCGGAAGTTGCCAGGATCATCTCTGGAGCCTTTCTTGTGTAACATGCACACAGCTGACTTGCGTTGGGAAGAAAAGAGCTTGCCGCATGACAGCTGGTAATTGAAAAATGTACTCAGGCATTTTTTAAAGTCCTCAGCTGCGACGCGGTTGAAGACAGCTGTAAGGCCTACCATGCCGGGCGCCGAGTTGGCTTTCATTTGCTTGAGCGCGTCGGTGAGTTCAGCTCCAGAAATTGTGGCATTTAGCAAAGCTTGGTCTTCTGATGTAAGACGCTTGTCAATCGTGTTCAGCAGCTCTCGTTGACTGTCAGGATTTGCAATTGGTGGTGGCCCTGTAGGACTGTCAGCATCACCCATAATAGCTCTCCAATGGGCGTGGAAACTTGCTGAAATATTAGCTGGTTTTCGCTAGATATTGCCTTCTGGGGTTCGGGCTTCTTCAGTGCTAACCCGTCTGAGTGATGGGTCGAGCGGATGGAAGAAGTACCTGGAAGACGACTCAG